TGGAGAAGACTCTTGAGAGTCCCCCAGACTGCAAGGAGACCAAACCAGTCAATCCTAAAGGAAATCAATCCTGAGTATTAATTGGAAAAACTAATGCTGAAGCTCCAATAATTTGGCCACATAATGTGAAGAGCCGATCACTGGAAAAGATCCTGATGCTGGGAAAGACTGAAGACAAAAGGAGAAGGAGGCAGAAGAGGATGAGATGGTTAAACAGCATCACAGACTCAATGGACACAAATCTGAGCAAACTCCAGCAGATAGTGGAGAACAGAGGAGCCTGGCAAGCTACAGTCCATGAGGTGGCAAAGAGCTGGATGTGACTTTACAACTCTACAACAACAAGGTAGGAAAACTATGAGAGATAAAATGAGGTGAAAGAGGAAAGAAGAGACTCAGATGTATAGAACAGACTTGTGGACTCTGGGAGAAGGCGAGGGTGGGATGTTTCAAGAGAACAGCATTGAAACATGTATATTATCTAGGGTGAAACAGATCACCAGCCCAGGTTGGGTGCATGAGACAAGTGCTCGGGCCTGGTGCACTGGGAAGACCCAGAGGGATTGGGTGGAGAGGGAGGTGGGATGGGGGACCGGGATGGGGAATACATGTAAATCCATGGCTAATTCATTTCAATGTATGACAAAAACTACTGTAATGATGTAAAGTAATTAGCCTCCAACTAATAAAAATAAATGGAAAAAAAAAAAAAAAAGAAAAGAATGTAAGGTTTCCACAAGAAACTGTCTGAATGGCTTTACTGAGAATCACAATAAGCTCTAGAATGGTTCAAAATTTGAGGCAAGAAGCACTCCAAAAGTAGTAGGAAATGACAAGATGGTGAACTGTTATTCTAAACAATAAAGATATTACAAAAAAATAAAACTAGAGACCACTACCTAATGAACACAGATGTAAAACTCAACAAAATATTAGCAATTAAAACCCAAGAATGCTTAAAAAGAATTTTATACTATAATCAACTGGGATTGAAAGACTCAGGAAGAATAGGCCAAAGAAGTCCTGGAATTAATCAATTATTATACCAAGATTGTAAAAGACAAGATTCATAAATATAAGTCAACCGTTTTCATATATGCCAACAATGAACAAGGGGAACTTGAATTTGATAACAAAATACCATTTACATTACTCCCCATTCCAAATGAAATACCTAGGTATGAATAAACCTAACAAAATACGGGCAAAAACTATATGAGGAAAACTAGAGAACTCTGATGATAAAAATCAAAGAGGAACTAAATATATAGAGAGATATCCCATGTTCATAGATTGAAAAATCAATATTGTGAAGATGTCAGTTCTTTCCAATTGGATCTATAGATTCAATGCAATCAAAATCCGAATTCTAGAAAAAACATTTTCTTATATCAACAAACTGATTCTAAAGTTTATATAGAGAGGAAAAAGAATCAAAACAGCTAACACAATATTGAAGAAAGAGAACAAAGTTGGAAGACTGACTAGCCAACTTCAAGACATTCTATAAAGCTTCAGTAATCAACACAATGAGGTGGTATTGGCAAAAGAAGAGACAAATAGATCAATGCAACAGAACAGTGAGTTCACAAATATACCCACATAAAGACAGTCAAATGCCCTCTTACAAAGAAGCAAAGGCAATAAATTAGGCAAAGGCAGAATCTTCAACAAATGATGTTGGAATAACAGGATAACTGCATGCAAAAAAATGGATCCAGGCACAGACTAGACACAAACTAAGATCATGGCATCCAGTCCTATCACTTTACAGCAAATAGATGGGAAAAATGTGGCAACAGTGTCAGATTTCATTTTCTTGGGCTCCAAAATCAATGCAAACAGTGACTGCAGTCACGAAATTAAAAGACACTGGATCATTTGGAAGAAAAGCTATGACAAAACTAGACAGTGTATTAAAAAGCACTTTGCTGACAAAGGTTCATATAGTCAAAACTATGGTTTTTCTAGTAGTTAAGTATGGATCCATACTCTCACTCAGAAGGCTGAGTGCTGAACATTTGATGCTTTCAACTGTGGTGCTGGAGAAGACTCTTGAGAGTCCCTTGGACAGCAAAGAGATCAAACCAGTCAGTCCTAAAGGAAATCAATCCTGAATATTCATTGGAAGGACTGATGCTGAAGCTGAAACTCCAATACTTTGGCCACCTGATACAAAGAGCTGACTCGTTGGAAAAGACCCTGAGGCTGGGAAAGACTAAGGGCAAGAGGAAAACAGGGCAACAGAGGATGAGATGGTTAGATGGCATCACTGACTCAATGGACATGAGTTTGAGCAAACTCAGGGAGCTGGTGAAGAACAGAAAACCCTGGCATGCTGCAGTTCATGGGCTCGCAAACAGCTAGACATGACTTAGCGACTGAACAACAAGATGACACAGACCTCACATACCTCACCAAAATTAACTCAAAATGGATCACAGACCTAAAAGTAAAAATGTAAAACTGTAACATGCCTAGAAGATAACATATGAGAAGACCCAGATGACCTTGGGTATGGCAATGACCTTCTAGATACAATACCAAAGACATGATATGAAGGAAATAACTGATAAGCTAGACTTCATTAAAAACTTCTATTCTGGAAGAGACAAATAATCAAATCTGCAACTTGATTTTTCATATAAGGCTGCTGAGAATTATCTATATTGATAAATTTATTACCATAAATATTATATAGTAGTCTAATTAATAAATAAGCTGGCTTATTCATTTTCCAATGAAAGAGAGACTGTTTTCATTGTTTAACTATTATGAATAACAGTAAGATAAAAATTCTTATACATATGTGACAGAGTTTCTTTAGGGTATACTCTTACAAACGCAATTATAAGATCGTAAGGTATACCCATTTTTAACCTTAGGATCAGTACAATAAAACTAAATAAAGTGGTTGAAACATTTTCTTCTCCTACAATCAGAGTATAAGAGTTTCTGCTCTCATTGGATATTTAGTTCTGGTCTTAGATTTTGCCAATCTCACAGAGAAATAGAATCTTGAATCATTTGTATTTCTCTAATAATTAGTTCACATCCTCTAAAAAGATGCTACACATCTTTTCATGTTTATTGGATGTGTTCTTCTGTGATCTGCCTATTCATATTCATTATCTATTTTTCAACTGAGTTACTTATCTTTTTCTTAGTGGATTACAAACTTTCAGGTACATCTTGGGTAGCATATTTTCCCATGTAATTGTAATAATGTTATTTTTTAAATTTTGAAACAATCTTACACATACAGAAAATTTGAAACTATAGTAAACATTTTTTTCTTGCATCATTAGGGAATAAGTTATTGACATGATGCACTATCACCCCTGAAGGTTTTAATGTGTATTTCCAACAAAAATGACATTGCTGTACATAATCTCAATATAACCAACAAGATTAGGCAATTAATATTAACCCTGACAATGTAGTATCTTTAAAAATAACAGTGATTATTCTTTTAAAAACAATAAATACTAGGATTTCTACACTAAATCACGGTATTCACTCCTCAACAGATGACAATAAGACTTGAAAACACTTCATTCTTTCCAAAAAGGGGAGCATACATTAAGACAGACAGCAAATGAAGAATTGCTTTCATTTTTTCCCCCCCATTCTTGACAACACAATAGAGAATGAGATTAAACTCCTTCTGGAAATTTAAACATTAGATCAAACTTTCTGAGAATAATTGCTGGGAAAAGCTGAGAGGGAAATCTCCTCTGGCAATTTCTTTTCAAAGCTGTTCTCCTGGGATGGTCTTAATACAGACCTATTCAGAGGCTAGGGCTAACCTTTAAAAATCCCTTTAAGATCAAAGATTCTTTTATCTCTTTTTATCTTGTACAAATTATTTATGAGGGACACACTCTGTTATTTAAAGTTATGTTTATATAGCAAACATAAAAATAATAATCAATGGCTGAAAATGTTTTAGTATTAGCTCTGCATCAAGAACTGTTATTAAGTTTACATGGAAAACTATGATACTAGAATATCCTGTTCAATACAAAAATGGGAAGAGGAGAAAACTTTTTTAATAGGCATTAAAAAACACTCTGGGGAATTTTTTCAATAGTCTGAATAAAATAAGGCAGTAAAACTGAAGAAAGAAATGGAGTAAGACAGATTTGTTTGTCTTTAAGTAGAAGAAAATAAATAGCATGATTGTATGTGATGGGAAAGAGATACAATGAAAAACTGATGATGTGGTAGAGAGAAGGGATCTATGAAAGCAATGCCTTTCTTTGAGTGATGGGATCTAAGGCAAAAGTAGAGTATTTGCCTCTGTTAGGAGCAAGTACAGTTCATCCATATTAACAGGAAAGACAAAAGATTTTAAGGAGAGAAATGCAAAGTTAGGATTGCTTAGGAAAATGAGAGGCACCCAGAACATGCAGTTTCTCCTCTCTATGAAGTGTGTTATATACGTGAATGTCACCATCAGGCATGGTTTTACAGGAAAAGGGTTGGGGACTGCTGTCTTTTATCAACCTGCTTGGGTTTTCCTTAGATTTCGATATAGTTGTAATGTTCCCAAAGCTTTATAAGCGTCTACCTATCTCCACACTCAGCTGTTATTGCTCCTGAGTGCCAGAATTATACATGCCCAGAAAGATAAAGTATAATAGAGATTGTATTTCCTTAAAAAATATTTTCTGCCTCAATAAGAAGTACATGTGAGGATAAGGATTTCAGAAAGAAAAATGTTCCTTTTTTTCCCTTGCATCTGTTTCCTCTGAACTAAATAAAGCCACAGTTTATAGTTTTTATCTAGAAGTTCTGAATATACCAATTGGCCAGTTCAACTCACTGATTAGACAAAAGTTATAAATAAATTCTAAAACAAAATTTCTTCTCTCATTTTCTGTCTACTAAAAAGTGAGTCATTAGATTACTTTGAAACTTGAATGCTTCACATACTATTCAAAGGACTTTTCAGTTATAAATAAATAAATGAAGCTAAATATAAACCACATTCATACCTCTCACAGCTGACTGGGAAGGCTGAGTCAAAACTTTGATATCTAATGCACTGTTGATATTTTCTTCTATTGCAGCACAATATCCATCCACAACATTGGTAATAGTGTCCTTCAAAGTTCCAAGATTATGGAAAACCTGAAGAGCAGTTCCGACCTGGGTTGGATTCTTTAAAGAGGTGGTGGTGGGGTGGGGTGGGAAAAGATATAATAAATAGGAAATAAACATAAATAAATAAATATAAAATAAATATAAATCTACAAATCTAAGTGGTACTTGAGCAGTTACTATAATTTTTAAAATTATTACAAACAAGAACAAAAATAATGCATCTGGAACAAGTGTTATTTTTAGTCATTACTTCTTTTACAAGACAAAGTTAAATACCATGTGTATGATTTCCTCCCTTTCCCTTTTCCTCCTCCTTTAAAGGATAATCACAAAATAAAGAATCTTTCATATTATTGGAGCTTACTTGAAATTTACCATTAATCTCTATGAAGAGAGCCATGTAAGAACTAACAACCCTATATTTGTTTAGAAAGAAATAAATTGTGCAGAGTAAACTGTGCGCTAAGCCTTGTGAACTGATACTACTTTTCATTGTATTATCTTCCTTCATTCACTCACTGAAACTACAAATATATAGAGAGAGTGCCCATTATGGGGTCTATCTTGCTTCTATCTGCTAGAACTATACTGGTAAATAAAACCAGTTGAGTTTCTGCCCTTATGGAACTTATATTTACTGAGAAATATGTAAACAATAAATATAAGAGAGTATCAGGTAGTGATAAATGCTATAGAAAAGAAAGCAGGGAATAAAAATAGAGAATGATGTGTATTATTATAGAGGGAAGAGTCAGGGAATGCATCTCAAAGGTAGTATTAAACAGAAATCAACATCTGGGAAATCTAGGGAAATACAGATCTGGGCAGGGGCATCAACAAAAGAACTGAGGTGGAAATGTGCTCGATAGCTAGTGAGAGAGCAATCAGGCCATGGTGGTGGCTGAAGTAGACAGGGGGAAGCAACGAGGGCGAAGCAGAAACACTACCGGTGAGTAGATTCAGTCTACAGTGATTTGTCATTAAGTAAATGACTGAATTAACAAGGTAGATCTACATCAACATAGTTATAGGTCCAAATAGCTGAAATTCCTCTTTCATTTATGACTCAGCATCTGTCATTAAAGGCACACAGCTAAAAATTGACATTATTTCGTTAACATTTTCTTGACTGTTGAGTATATATAACACAAAATGTTATTTCTTAAGTCTACTGGTGATAGCAAGAGTACGTAGCACACACACACTCAGCAGCAGGGTAGGGTCAGTTTAGAGACAAGATCAGGAAACATGGTTGGTGAACACCCATTTTAGATCATTTTGTAATTAAACAAGAACAAGTAGCAAATGGACATTGTTTCATATTAAAACATGCATTTGCTTTTAGAAGATATCAAGGATGAAAATTAGGCAGCTGTAAACACATTTCCCTTATCACTATTCAAAAGTCTATATAATCTAAGAAAGCACTACCTGACCAATTTCAAAGAATATCTTCACCTTAAAAACTAGAATACAGACACATATTATAACATTATATTTATTGCCTTTATTATCCTCAAAGGATCCAAATATCAGTTTCTCAACATATAGGTTTTCAGTAACTTATAATAATTATGTAACTTCAATAGCTTACAAAGAATGTACATTGAAAGTTATATGCATATGTTAACTGAAAACATTTGGAGTCTTATTTGACTTGAGAGATCTAGTCAAAATTGGTCTTCTTAAGTTTCTACTCCAAAAATTAACTATCAAAAACTTTCAAAACAGTAACATGTTCAGGGCAACATTAAAGAAGCATCTAGTATCAGAATGGTTATCATCAAAAAGACAACAAATAAGTGTTGGCAAGGATGTGGAAAAAGGGGAACTTTCATGCACTGTTGCTGAGAATGTAAATTAGTGCAGCCACTATGAAAAACACTATGGGGGTTCCTCAAAAAATTATGTAAGTAACTCTTGAGGAACTCAGCTCTCCCCTCTGTATCCTGAATTCATAAATTTTATTTTTTTTAATTAATTTATTTATTTTTTATTAGTTGGAGGCTAATTACGTTACAATATTGTAGTGGGTTTTGTCATACATTGACATGAATCAGCCATGGATTTACATGTGTTCCCCATCCCCATCCCTCTGGTTCTTCCCAGTGCACCAGGTCCAAGCACTTGTCTCATGCATCCAACCTGGGCTGGTGATCTGTTTCACCCTAGATAATATACATGTTTCGATGCTGTTCTCTTGAAACATCCCACCCTCGCCTTCTCCCAGAGTCCACAAGTCTGTTCTATACATCTGAGTCTCTTTTTCTGTTTTGCATATAGGGTTATCGTTACCATCTTTCTAAATTCCATATATATGTGTTAGTATACTGTAATGGTCTTTATCTTTCTGGCTTACTTCACTCTGTATAATGGGCTCCAGTTTCATCCATCTCATTAGAACTGATTCAAATGAATTCTTTTTAATGGCTGAGTAATATTCCATGGTGTATATGTACCACAGCTTCCTCATCCATTCGTCTGCTGATGGGCATCTAGGTTGCTTCCATGTCCTGGCTATTATAAACAGTGCTGCGATGAACATTGGGGTGCACGTGTCTCTTTCAGATCTGGTTTCCTTGGTGTGTATGCCCAGAAGTGGGATTGCTGGGTCATATGGCAGTTCTATTTCCAGCTTTTTAAGAAATCTCCACACTGTTTTCCATAGTGGCTGTACTAATTTGCATTCCCACCAACAGTGTAAGAGGGTTCCCTTTTCTCCACACCCTCTCCAGCATTTATTGCTTGTAGACTTTTGGATAGCAGCCATCCTGACTGGCGTGTAATGGTACCTCATTGTGGTTTTGATTTGCATTTCTCTGATAATGAGTGATGTTGAGCATCTTTTCATGTGTTTGTTAGCCATCTGTATGTCTTCCTTGGAGAAATGTCTGTTGAGTTCTTTGGCCCATTTTTTGATTGGGTCATTTATTTTTCTGGAGTTGAGCTGGAGGAGTTGCTTGTATATTTTTGAGATTAATCCTTTGTCTGTTGCTTCGTTTGCTATTATTTTCTCCCAATCTGAGGGCTGTCTTTTCACCTTGCTTATAGTTTCCTTTGTTGTGCAAAAGCTTTTAAGTTTCACTAGGTCCCATTTGTTTATTTTTGCTTTTGTTTCTAATATTCTGGAGGACAGATTTCCAAAGCTGGCTGAAGTTCCTTTTTTTTTTTTTTTTTTTAAATAAAAATGTAGCCAACAAGATCCCAACTCTAAAATTCTGATTCAGCTGGATCAGACTGAGGCCTGGTTATTATATTTTAAAGCTCTTCAGATGCAGCCACCTGGGAACCAACATTTGGAAACCACTTGACTAGATGACTCTGCCAGACTTTGAAAAATGAGAATCATTTGTTCATGTGAAAGATAGGATTTTCTGGTAAAAAGAACCAAATACACAGAGAAACGACAGAGGAAAATTACTGAGTATGCTTAAGGAGTGGTATATAGATTTTACTACCAGAAGTTTTGCATATGTGGGGGGAAAAAAGACAACCCTGGCAAATAAGGGTCTGGTCACTGACAACCTTGGACTGCATTCTGTGAAATTTCTATTTAATACTACTGGTAACAGAAAAATGATTCATGTAATAAAATTATCATAATCTAAGATGTTTAAGGAAATAAAAATAATTACATCAGCTCTGGCAATAGTTTTTAAAAAAAAGAAAAGAAGGAAAAATAGCTTGGACTAGGGAGTTGCAATGAAAAACAAAGAACAGGACAGACAGGAGAGATTCTGAAACACTGAAAAGAAACTGTCTACTGACTGACTATGATGGACAAGAGGGAAGGAAGAGTCTACCATATATGGAAGTTTCTTCAAGTGTGGGGGCCTGAAAGGACAGAAAAAGAAAAAAGAAAATCAAAAGAAGGAGATCATTTGGGCAAGTGGGTGGAGGAGTGGTGGGATGAGAGGCTGAACGGCTGTTGTTAATGAAGTGCTCACTGTGAGACATGCGGAGTCTCAGGTGCCAACGGGGCGTTCTCAGTTGGAGACGAGAACACTTTTGAACTGGATAATCATAGGAACCTAGACTGAGTAGCAAGCTAAACTGATGTAATAAATAATAAAATATAGCATGTTGGAAACTTTTAATCACAAAGGGAATAAAGAACAGAATTGGTGAGAGTGAGAGAACAGAAATGAGGTGATAGAATACTCTAAGCAGAATAACAACTGGAACATTAGAAAAACTGGGAATGAAATCATTTTGTCTAGCTATGATTCCAGCAAAGAATACCTCCTAAATATAATAAACATTAGTGTTCTTTTCCCATCATTCTCTCTCATCGCAAACAAATACCACATATTTTGACCAGCAGGTTTTTCTGGGTTCTTATTAGTAATAAACATCAGACTTTCAGTTCCCTCATCTGTAAAATCAGGGGACTGGACTAGATGAATTCTAGTACCCTTGCAAATACTAACACATGATTGTACGATCATTCAGTGTACATCATTTACTTATGCGAGCACTGGGCAAGGTACTGGGGATTTAAAAAAACTGAAGCAAATACTGGACCGTCTGACCCTTCAATATCTATGGTCTGATGGGCGATAAAGACAATTAAAGCAGCAATTAGAATGTACTATGATAAATTAGAGGGGAAATGGATAGTTTAATAGGAGAGGTGATTAACTTAGAACTGGGGAGGGAAAGAAGGATAGAGAAGTCAGGAAATTCTCCTTAAAGGAAGAAGGCCCAGCCAAGACCCAAAGTGAAGTTGTCATGGGAAGGTGTTGGGAGCCGGAGATGAGGAGGAGTCGAAGATTTACAGAAGGAGTCAGGAAAGCAAAAGGAAAACCACTCCAAGCAGAGGAATAGCACATACAAAAGTCTGTGAATGAGCACACTGTGGAAATTAAATCGACTAATATAATATCTGATAGGTAAGAGAACTACACAAATACCTAAACCAATGCAGGTGCCCCTATCAGTCAATCTCAAACTTTTGGTAATAAAAGAACTACCTGAGGGAGCTTGTTAACTAAAAAGGGACACATAAGGAAGACCTGAGATTGCTGGTAAGTTTTCATTTTTTTAATCTGAGTGCTAGTTATGTATGTTTGTTT